AGACAAGGTTTTTTTAATCATTTAAACATAATGGTCTATAAATAGGCCATACATATATAGGAAGTTAATTTGTGGTACAAGGAATTCAAATCACTAGGATACGGATGATGACATAATCAACTATCCAGTTAGAAAAATATTGTCAGATTGCAAAAGATACAATATTTTTGAATGCTAGATTATAAAAATATTTAGTCTTGAAGAAGCCCAATGGAAAAACCTATAAGCTATAAAGGAACGATAATAGATTTGACGATATAAAAATGAAAAATCACTGCATAATAAAAGATACCATAATAGATACGCAATAGTCTGCCACATATATGACAAAAGGTTAATACATAACCTATAAATAATCCCTTTGTATCAAGATTAAATTTCAAAGAACATTAAAGATAAATCATAGAAAAAGAAATACAAAGAGCCAATAACCCCCTGATATTGCCTCCATCTCATTAATAAAGAAAAACATATAAAATACTAATATTTGTCATCTAAGATTAGCAAAGATTAAAAACATTTATTCTCGGCAAAGGCATAAATAAGCATTGTAGTGTACATTATTAGTAATTTTAAAATAAAGTAACAGAATTTCTAACCTTTTTGGAATGTAGTTTTCCAATGTTTATCACAATTTAGAATATGAGTTCTAGCAATTCTATTTCTAGAAACTTTCCTAAAGAATTACATATATGTAAGGATGACCTTATATTCTTACATTATGCTTAAAATAACACAAAATCAACCCAATGTCCACTTAGGTAGGAGTAAATAATAACACATCCATATGGGTGATTGTTATTGCATTGGTTAACTACGTATTGTGTAACAGAATTACCCCAAAACTTAGTGGCTTACAACAATAAACATTTATTTTCCTCGTGGTTTCTATATGGCAGATATTTAGAATTAACATCGATAGGCAGTTCCAGCTCATCATCTCTTGACATCAGCTAAAGACTGACGTGGAGCTTGCCAATCTACCTCCAAGATGGCTCACTCCATGACTGACAAGGTGGCTGGCTAGAAGCCAGGTGCTGTCCACAGAGTCTTCTCCACTGGCTACTGAAGGGTCTTCACAACGTGGTAGTTGGCATTCTGTCTAAGTGAGCCATTTAGGAGAACCTGAGGCTAAAATAGGGATGTTTGTCATGACAGCCTCAGAAGTCCCACACTGTCACTTCCAGAGCATTCTCTTGGTCACATAAAACAGCCATGAGTCAGTGTGACAGGACTATACAAGGATATGAACAACAGCAAGAATCATAAGCTGACATCTAAAGGCTGAATAGTAGTTTGTAAGGTAAAATGAGTACAGGAAGAATCACAAAGTCATGGGGCAAAACTTTGGAAGAAATTTCTATGACTAGGAAGTAGAGATGAGGCCAGAAAGGCAAACAGAACTTGATTTGAGGCAGTCCTTGCAAGCTCAAGAACTATTAAGCTATTAAGAGCTTAATAATAAGCCAGGCATGGCAGCCTGAGAATGTAACGCTAACACTCTGGGAGACTGAGGCAGGAAGGAGGAGTGCAAATTTGAGCCCAGCCTGGGCAACTTAGCAAGACTCTGTCTCAAAAAAGGGCTTGGGATATAGCTCAGTACAAAGGCCCTGGGTTTAATCCACAGTACTAAACAAAAAAGAAAAAAAAAGCTTAATAATAAAACCACTAAGCCACCAAAGGATATACTTGATCCGTGAACTTAATTAATTATTTTCCGGTCGCAAACTGAATTGAACTAGAACCAAATCAGATTTCCCCATAAGGTCAACACTGAATCTAACCAATGAATTTTATTCAGTTCTTGTCCAATTCAGTTTGTGACCAGAACTGTGGAAAGAATTAAGTTCATGAACAGAGGCACCACTGTACATTTTAATATGACCATTCATTACATAGAGAATGGGCTGAAGGAACAAGGACCTCAGGGAACAGGAATGAAGGTAAGGAAATCAGATTATTAAAATGATCTAGATAAGAAATAATAACACAGATGAAAAGTGGACAAGTTCTGAGATATTTAGGAGATACACCCAGGACTCAGTGTTTGATTGTATATATGGAGTACACAATAGGAAGGAACCAAGACTGGTTCCTACATTTTGAATTTGAGCAATTAGGTAAATAGGACATATAAAAGGAAAAACAATTTGGGGATTTGGGGATTCCTTAAAAAGCTTAATTTTTAACGAGTTGAATTTGAATTGTTTGCAAACATAGAAATGTCCAGTAGGCAGTGGATATATGAGACCTGGAGGTCAGGAGATGTGCTTGGATGTAAATTCTTATGACTTAATCAGAGTATCAGTGAAAATGGAAGCCATGGGCCCCCCCAAAAAAAAAATCACTGATTTTTTTTAAGGGGAAGAAGAGCTGCAAGAGATTGAAAAGGAATGTCAGAAAGGTAAATGAAGAAATGCCTGGATGGTGTAGTCACAGAAGGCAAGAAAGATCAGGAGTGTTATACTGAGTCAAATGACTATAAATGGAACATTCTGAATGAATGAAATAAGGGGATAAGCTAATGAAATGAGAGCGCTCACCCATGGCGCCGAGGCAAGGTACTTCTATAGGAAGGCTGTGATGAATGGCATTAATGTCTTCTGGTGCAGTGCTTCTTAAAGTGTGATGTATACACAATCACCTAGGGAGCAAGTTAAACTGAACTTCTGCCTATATAGGTCCTGCTTAGAGTCTGAGAGTGTACATTTCTAAGGTCCCATGTGCTCCCTGTGTGGCTAGTCTACAGACCACATTTGATTCTGCTGTAGTTCTCAAATCTTATTAGTGAATAATCACCTGGGGGCCTTCAAATAGATGAGTGGGCTGCCATCCCTACAGATTCTACTTCAGTAGGTCTGGGTGGGACCTGATCATGTGCATTTCTTACAAGTTCCCAGGGGATGAGTGCTAGTAATACGACAGGTCAGATCCACAACTCAACAACTGCTGACTCTAGCAGAGAAACAGCCAGGGAATCCATTTGGGCTTCCAAACACATTCCAAACAAGCATTCCTGGACATCAGGACAGTCATGTCCATTACCAGAGCTTACACTTTATGATCAGTCTCTCCCCACCGCCAAGCTTACATGGCCAGAAGGAGGCCAGGACATGTATTTATTATCCATCACTCCAAGAGACACTGTTTCAGACCTCAGACTCATTTTTAATTAGTTTATTCATTCTCAAGACTCTCAGCAGTGAATACCTAATTTGTAAAAAGTCTCAAAGCTTTATCTTGCTTATGAAAGCCATTTCATATTAAAACAAGCAGCATCTGATAAGTAGTTTCTTTTATTCTAGGGATGCTTGTTTCACCAGTCACATTTCCCCCCAGAGTGAGACAACTGAAAAGTCCTCATCCAATAAAAGAGGAAAATTCTACTTGAGGAATAAATTCACATATGTGTTTATTAAGTATGGAAATAGATTTAATGTAAGGCATCTTCAACTCCATACGAGAAAAGACACCAACCACCATGATGAAAAACGACGAATATCATCTGAAAAAATGCATTTGTATTAAAGCTAACCCAGCAGATACTTCAGTCTAGTGGCACAGAATGTGCTTGTTATTAATCGTAGTGGATACACAAAGGAGGAGAAAAATATTAGCAGGCAGGAATGACTAGGAAAAACTTCCTAGATGAAGTAATTTTTTTTTTTTGGTACCGGGGATCGTACTCGAGTCCTTGCACTTGTGAGGCAGACGGCGGAACCACTGAGCTAAATCCCAGGCCCTAGATGAAGTAATTTCAGGTTAGAATTAGATGGATGAGCTGCCTTTTCACAGCTATATACAATATAGTGTGTACAACATATACAACAAAGTTTATACTATATACTGTATATATTATATATACTATTTATATAGTATATTAATATAACGATGTATCTATTATGTATATTATAGACATGTTACTATAGTATGTAATGCAAAATATATATCACATATATGATGTACATTACACGTATCATATATAACATGTATTTAATATGTAATTTTGTTGTCAAGTAAAAGATTTTGTTTTTCGCAGTGTTGAGAAAAACATCTAGGTAGAAAGCACAATATGTACCCTCAAAAAAAGCTTACAATCTAGTTTGAAGACGGAATAACAGGAGATTCAACACTAGAGCATATTTTGGAAGAAAAAACTAACAAGAAAACAGTGCAGGGGGCATCAACACTAGAGGAGGGCGTCTGCAGAAAAGTGCTAAACCATCTAAGCACAGATCGGAGGAAACTAGGGACCTGCGATGGTGTAGATGATGTCAAGACCCGGGGAGGGGGAGCGCCAGGCCTCGCACTATGGGAAACTGGGTCTAGTCCAGCTGCTCGGTCCTTTACACCTTCCTTTCCCGAACCGTCTTCATCCAGCAGCACAGGTGTACTGGAGAGGATCGGCAGGAAGAAAAAGTGGTGGGGTTTTGTTGGGTTTTTTTAGATGGGGTCTCCCTGGGTAGGTAGTCCAGGCTGGTTTTGAACTCACTATGTAGTCCAAGCTGGCCTCGAATTCGTGGCAATCCTCCTGCCTCTGGCTCCCGAGCGCTGGGATCACAGGCGTGCGCCACCATGCTAGGCAGGGAGAGTTTTTAAAATAACAGCCCACTCCGCAGCCGCAGGCCTTCAACGGCTCCCAAGCCGGCACCGCTCTCAAGCCCGGGTCGGAGTAAAGCCGCTTTTCCCGACCGTCCGACCTGGGACGACCCTTCCTCCGAGCAGCCAGGCCCCTCCTCCCCAGGCCTTGGCCCTCGTCCTGCCTCTATGTAAGCGAAGGAGGACTCCGTGACCCACTGACCACGGCGACTGCCCCGAGGATCTGGAGCCAAGAGCAATCGAGGCGGGTTCGAAAGCCGGAAGTGCACTGCTTCCTTCCGGCCCGCGCCGCACGAGAAGGGGCGGGGTGGCGGAGAAGAGGGCGGAGGCTCACGTTGACAGACAGCTCCGAGAACCTATGGGTGCAGCGGCGGCGGCCCAGCCTCCTCGGCGCGCCCCTTCGCGGGGTTGTAGACGCCCCCTGGACCCCCCATTCCACGGTGCTGCACAAAGCTCCGCTGCCGCCTGGTCCTTCCTTTTCCCGCCGCGCTGCGGACCGTGTGCGGCCCCGCCCCCGCGGCCCTCGCGCCGCCTCGCCGGGCCGGCCTCTTTCCCCGCTCGGAGCCGCGCGTGAGGACTGCTGAGGCCGCAGGTCTGTGGCTGCGTGTCGGGCAGCGAGGGGAGTGCGGGCGCCGGGTACCCGAGGTTCCCCCGGGCGTGCGGACGCCGGGTGCGCGCTGCCTACAGGCGACCGCCGAGCCCTCCTCGGGCCGCCCTGCCCGGACCCACCCCGTCCCGCCCCGTCGCGTCGCCGGGTCCGGGAGGCGCCGCCGCGGCGCTCCCGGCGTTCGAAGGGTACAGCGAGAGGAATGGGGCCAGGCTGGAACTCGGGAGTGGGCAACTTTGCGGAGCGCCCTCTCGGCAGCCGGCCGCGCGGGCGGAGGGAGGGCGTGGGCTCGGACCCCGCGGCCGCCACTCGGCGTCCTGGTGAGCGAGTGTCCGAACTTGCTCGCCTGCCCGCCTCTCCACCGGCCCCCGACTGCCGGCGACGCGGGGCCTGGAGGGGTGCGGAGCCCAGGTGAGCGGAGCACAGTGCCCTGCGACGCCCGAGTGGTGCGCAGTACTGTACCAGACCGTCTCATTAAAAAAGCATCGCTTGCAGGTCCCTTTGCAGATGTGTCGACTGGTGTTCCTTTCCGTTCGCCGGAGGAACTTTTGTTTCAAAGTTCGTGAGACTACTGCAGTCTAGACGCATAATTTGCACTTTTAGTGTTTGCTGACTTTTCTGTCTTAACCTGTTAGAGTGTATGCATTATGGGGTCTTTAAAACTCTTTTTCCCCATAGAGCGAACATGGCTGTAGGGTTATTAGGCCATTTGGGGGAGAAGCTCATCTCTAGTTGGACCACTCGGCTAACACGCCTTTTCTCCTTCGCTGTTGCAGCTTCTCCGTCTCCTGTGCTTTGAAGGCACAACATTTAAAACTCAGCCCTCAAATCTTTTCCTTCTCACAATTCTTTGAATGAGTAAATGAATAAACAAATTGTATCATGTAGGCTGGTTGGTCTGTTCTACAAAGCACATTTAACTAGGAATTAATATACACATATAATGTTGAAACAGTAATGCCAGGCCACTGATCAGATTTAATAAATAATTAGTAAAACGCTACTCCTTGTTCAGAGGAGTTCAGCAAGATGTTCCGGGGGACGGAATTGGCTTACTCACCGTCACCACACCCCCGCCTCCCACTTGCAGCTTCCAAACTAGGCGCTTGCACCCTGCTGGTACTCCCACTATTACTCCCCGGGATAGCAGCTGCCCTGATAGGCAGGCTCACCCCTGCTGTCATCACCACCCAGGCATAAAGCTTCCAGTGTGAATTGTTTTAAAGAGCACAGGTGTTAACATTCAGATACCTGAAACAACAATGTTTTGTTTCTTCAAAATCAGGTTGTCAACAAGTTTACTACTGAATCCCTCCTACATGGTCAGTTATAGAATACTTCCTACTGCATAAGGAGCTGTAGAAAATAATATAAAACTTTAATTATGCAGCAAATTGCGTGATACGTGGTATGGCTTATGGGAGGAGAAAATCAGCAGGCGTTGGAGCATCCCAGATAGCTCTCTGGGAAAGGGGCAGGGGCTTGTCCATTTAGCTCACCTACCTGGCAGCGCCTGCTGGAGAACAGGTGCACCAAAAATATGATTGAGTTAAATGTTTGTTTTGTATCTTGAGTATACTTTAAAGACTGATTAAAGATTTGGATGGGAAAATAGAAGGGGCTACTAAGCAGGGGACAACAGCCCAAGTTAAGTCACTTAAACACAAATGAGCAAAGGGTATATTGGGAGGATACTGCGGTATAGATGGGCCATTCACTGTATTTTTACTTTGTTTGTAGGAGTGGTTAGAAAAACAATGCATGTAAGTCTTTGACATCATGATGTACATCCGGCAAAGAAAAGAGATAAAAACCACCACCGAGGTTTCTGAGGATTTTCCGGCACAAGAAGAAAATGGGAAGTTGGAAAATAAATTGCCATCTGGTAGGTGATTTAAACTGAAGCAGCATTTGGGATTGCTTTTATTTCTTTGGAATAAAATAATCATTCTCCAATAGGGTAAAAAGTTAGGTGAGACAACAGTTGAGGAAACTTGTTCTAGTGCCCTGATATTCTGACTGCAGTTTGATTATTTTGGTTTCACAGTTTCAGGTAGATAAAAGAGCTTTGATTAGAACACTTCGTCAGTTTTTTGTTCATTAACTTAGGGTTATGCCAGTCTAATTCTTTTACTCTCGAGAGTAATACTTTTCCTCACCATTCATATTGTAGTCTAATTTTTCTGGTTTATGTCATTGACACTAGACAGCCTTACTTTCGGTTTCTCATTTTAGTAAAGTACTGAAAGATGAATTAAGATTTTTGTATTCTTTATTTTCAGTCAAATCAATGAAATTTTTCCTTTTATGGGGGAGGCAGGAAAAGTGGTCAGAACTTGGTAAATTGTTTATATAATGCTTATGACTTGCTAAATGACATATCAGATGGCATTAATTGCCAACTTTGTGTTTTCTGAATTGCTTTCCTAAGAATGGTCAGGATCTTTATGCATGAAAAATTCCAAGCTTATCAGCCATTTTGGATATCTGACAGAATTTACAGTCTTTGCAGACATGCAAATTCTTACCAGTCATAACTAAGGAAGCAGTTTAATTAAAAAAAAAAAAAAGGAAATCTGTTTTGGGAGGTTATGCCACTGGGCTCAGCTATTAGCAACTAATGCATTTTGGACAATGCATAGTAGTTTCTGAATACAATGCCAATTCAAGTTTGTTTCTTTTAAATAAATATAGAACTTTGGGGATTGTTCATTTTACCAAAGCACTATTTATGATATCAGAAAAAACCTGAAAACTACAGAAAATTAAAAAGAAAGAAGAAATACTCCCTTGAATATCCATCCTAAGACTACCACAGATGACTCTGTCTTGCTGTTTCAATGTCATTCTCTGAACTGTACTCCCCACCAGCGTTCATATGTAGTTTTACAAAATTGAGATCTATGTGTTGGTTTATAAGTTGCTATTTTTCTCTTATGTTATGAACATAAGCCAGTTGATATATGTATTTAAAAATATTGTTGTTACTCAACTCAGGGGCCCAACAGACCAGGCTTGCTACTCTTCCCAAAATGCCAGTCAAGAACAGCAGTGATGAAGGGCAGGAAAGAGCCTTAGTCAGCATGGCCTGGCTAAGAAGCACACATAGAGGCTCAAGATTTGTCTTAGAGGTTTTGGGGTTTTATAGAAAAAAGGGAACAAAGGCAAGGGCTGAGGGTTTGCAGAGCTGGAGGACTTTGCTCACAATTTAAGCTATCCTGGTCAGGTCCTGACCTGGTCAGTGGTCTCTCAGGACTTGGTTCCCTGCAGTCCTGGGAGAGACAGCATTGCTGTCAATTTCCCTCATGGGATGACAGCCCCTTCATTTCCTGTCATGTGGTAACTGCTCCTCCTTGGGGGGTGACCTCATTATGGCGTGGTCTGTGAGGCTCTGCTTCTCCTGGAATCTGAGGTGGCTACAAGTTTAGGACAGTGTCTCTTGAGACTTCTAGGGACTGCTCTGGGTGTCAGGAACAGGATGTTGTAACAGCTGGCAGTTAAATGTCCCTGCCAATCCTGAAAATTACTTGAATTAGTCTTATCTTGGTGACCTGATTCTTGAAGGGAGATGAGATAGGCTGGGTAAATTTAAGGTTAACAGACCTTATAATCCATTCCCTGAGTGATTAGCATGCCTGTGTGCAAACAGGAGCGGGGATCTGTCCCACAGTTTTAAGGTAACGAGGGAGACACGTAAAATAAGACAGATGCCAGGCTTTGTCCTGCTTTCAGTTACCTGTTGAGACTCTGCAGACCTTGCCTCTAAGTCCCTGTTCCATTGTTAGTATATAATATTACATGTTGTGGCTGTAGTATAATTTAACTAATTACTGGTGGAAGACCAAAACCTTCTAATACAACCTTCTAATACAAATAGAACTGTGATAAATACCCTTGTGACCAAATGTTTGTTTAAAACTTTTAATTATTCCCTTGTGTTATATGCCTAGACATGGAATTAACAATCAGATGGTATACTTATTTTGGTGGCTTTTCCTCCCGTTGCCAGGTTGCATTTCAGAGAGGTCTCAATTTCTTTTTCTTTTTTTTTTTTTTCAATTTCTTTTTTTGCCATCAGGATTTAAAGATGTCTAATACCCTTTCTAAAATAGAGTACTAATATTTTTAAGCTGTCAAATTAGCCAAGATTTTTAAAGTACAACTCATTGCTTTGATTTGCAGGGGGTTTTCGTGTTTTTTTTATTGTTTTTTTTTTTTTTACCACTAGTGATTTTGAATGAATTTAAACGTTTTTTCTTTTGTTACATTTATTGGGTATGTTTTTCTTTTGTACATTGCGTATTTATGTCCTTAATCTGTTTCCTACTGGACTGTTCATCATTATTTATTATCTTGAAAGTATCCTATGTTAAAAATATTTAAGTTTTCTCCCTGGTACCAAAAAACCAAAAATATTTTAAGTTTTCTTTCTTATGCTGTAAATACTTTTTCTAGCTTGTATATCCTTTTAGTTATTATGTTTTATTTTTCCTATGAGATTTTTAAGTAATCAAAGTTTTGGTAGCTTTTAATGAATAAACCACAAATTATCAGTAGATTCTCTAAAAGATTGTTCACATTTTAGACTCATAACCCATTTCTTCCTCTATTTAGCAAACTTCATAAAGTCTAGTTGTTCAGTTATGCCTGGATATTAAAGGTGAATATGACAATGTACTTGTCGAGGAGCTCACATTCTGGTTGTCACAATGAACAAATGAAGAGTTAGGAACATTGGAGTAAAAACTTATAAGAACTGAAAATAAGGTGAGTATGGTGGCACTTACCTGTAGTCCCAGTTACTCGAGAGGCTGAGACATGAGGATTGCTTGATTCCAGGAGTTCATGACCAGCCTGGGCAACATAGCAAGATCCTGTCTCCAAAAAAGTAAGAGAAGCTGGGCCTGGTGGCACATGCCTGTAATTCCAGTACTCTGGGGGGTAAAGCAAGCAGGCAAGTTTGAGCCCAATGAAGCAATTTAGCAACTTTGTGAGATCATCCTCATGACTCAAAATAAAAAACAAAAAAGGCGGAGGATATAGTTCAGTATGAAGGCCCTGGGTTCAGTCCCCAGTATGAGAGAGAGAAACTGTTTGCCGGGGACAGGAAATGCTTCACCAGTGACAGGCAGCTGAAACTCAGGTTACTTGATAGCCTGAAATAGAACTATGAAATTCTAAAATTTTCACTCAGTCATTTATATTTTCCTTTTCTCAAAGGTTGTACCAACACAAGATTTTGGAAGATCCTATCATTTACAGTTGGTGGAACCACTGCCCTTGGTATTGGACTTCTTACATCGGTCTACCTTGCCACCTTACATGAGAATGACTTATGGTTTTCTAACATTAAGGTATGGGGTTTCTATAACAATTGTATGATGTATTCATTGACATCTCCAATAGTTAGCCATGTAGATGAACCAAGACATAGTTTTGCCATAAAGAATCCAAGCTCTGGAAAGATTTAACTCGAGTCAAAACGAAACAAAGAACTTATGTTTATTATTTTTAAATAACACATCAGAATTTTCCATTCGTTTTTTCTATCAGTTTTTCATTAACCTTTTCATCAACTTTAATTTTTCTGCAGTTACTGTAGAATTTTTCAAACTATAGACTATGAAATCGGTGCTGTAGGTCATAAGTAACATTTTTCTTAATGAAATCAAATAGAGAATACTATCTATCAATATAGTTGAGAATTGTTTTGTGAACTTTTCATTTTGATTATATATGTCTGTACAAACTGGGTCATAGTAGAAAATGAGGCATTGTTTTGTTTTGGTTTTTTCTGTTGGCTGCAATAGAGAAAAAGAAAGAAAATTGAAGGCCACTGTTCCAACCCATGGAGTCTCAGTCTGGCTTCACAGATGGACTTCAGCATGCTCATATCTTTCTAGTACTATTGGTTTTTTGAAGTGGGGAAGCAATACTTTCTTTGGAGAAATAAGCCAGAATTTTCATCTGATTTTCAAAATGGTCTGTGACCTTTTAAATACCTTTTTTTTTTTTCATTTTTTCTTTCAACATTTCTAGAACTTATTTTGGCAGTGTTTGCAGAACAAGTATATGAGTTCACAGAAACAAGCTTGTACATTGCCAATGTTTTGATCCAAATATATTTTGTTTTTGATCTAATATATCAAGATCTTTGATCTTATTATCCATGGCTTCTACTCACTAATTGCTTGCCAAGGTAAATACTTGCCTTCAAAACTGAAAATTTATCATATTTGAAAGAATTTGGCATTTCTCAAAGAGAGGTTTTATTTTGTTTTTTATGGAACTAAGGGTTAAACACAGGGCCTTCACACTGAGCTGTATTTCCACCCTACCTACCCTTCCTTTCTTCCCTTCTCTTCCTTCCCTCCTCTCCCTTTCTTCCTTCTTCCTTATGACAGTCTAACTGAATCACCCACATTGGGCTTGAATTTGGGATCCTCCTGCTTCAGCCTCTCAGTGTTTGGATTATAGGTGTGCACCACCACTAAAGAGAGTTTTCTAAAGCATTTTGAGGTTTAGTCCAATTTTGAGAATGAGTCCCCAAATGAGACTACTTTGAATGACAAATCTAAATAACTTCTATTATGCTTATTTTAAAAACCTAACATATTACTTCATGAGTATAGCACATATTTGTATAGATATCTTTATACAGATTATCATGGTAACAAAGAATAATAATTCTTACCCTTCAGGAACATTTGGTGAGTTTTTGTGCCAAGAAAATTTTTACTCATCTCTTTTTACAATGAAAGCACTTATAAATAGATTCTCTAGAATTAAGCAATGTATGTCTATTTATTAACATTTTGAATAAAGGCTGAAATATCCCAGGGTGGGCATCTAGCTAAAATTAAATGTTAGTAACAGTGTAGCAAGGAGAAGTGTTGAAAGAGATCATATAATTTAATTATAAACTGTAAGTTTAGCTCTTTAATTTAAAACTTAAAAGTAGCCTTTCTAGTATCCTTCAGTAGGGATACATCATCATCAAGAAACCTCAGCATCCTTGAGTTTTTTCTTTTTTTACTTTCACTGGATTAGGAAAATCATTATACTTTTACCCAGTATTTATCGAGCACCTCTTGTTTGGGTAACATTGAATTAAACTCTCTGGGGGACATGGAAAGAATAACAAAGCCTTCTGAATTTGCAAACATACTTTCTAGCATAACAAAGGAATTCAGAAAATACATACTAAGTGGCAGGCCAGCAGAATGCCAACAAACACTGCTCATGGTAGCAGTACCACTAAATAAGACATGCTCCTGTTCCCAAGGAGCCTACCCTCTTGATAAGGATACAGACAGGTATCCAGACGGTCCTAGGGCATCCAGGTCAGCACTGTGTGTGATGGGGTGAGAGAGAGTACTGTGGGAGTAATAGGAGGGGAGCCGGACCTATTGGGAGCGATGGCAGAAGGTTTCCTAGAGGAAGCCATGGTTGAAGCCTACAGGATGCGTTAATGAGGCACACTAGGGAAGAGAGGTGAGTGTCATAGGAGAGGGACATGTACTGGAAATTCAAAAAGCAAGGCTGCCTGGAGCATTGAAAGTACCAGTACCGATGCAGGAGAAGGGACTCGGAGTAGAAATAGGCCAGATGGTGAAGGGCCTTTGCTCCATGTCTCAGAGATAGAGCTCTCTGTGATATAGTACGGATCCTTGTTTTCAGTGGGGCAGTGTTTGAGTTTTAAAAAGATGGCTCAGGGGGCCCGGGATTTAGCTCAGTGGTTCCGCCACCTGCCTTGCAAGCACAAGGACCTGAGTTCGATCTCCAGTACCAAAAAAAAAAAGATGGCTCAGGCTGTAGTGTGGAGGAACAGATTTGAGAAGGGCAAAGCTAAAGTCAGAGAAAACCACTGCGATAACCCAGTTCAGTAGATTCAGTAAGATCTGAACATCCAACTAAGATATTCAATAAGTGATTCTTTTCTGTGTGCCAGGCACTCTGCTAACCCCTGGGAATATGACACTGAATATGATAATGGAATTTTATTCTGATGAGGAGGAAAAAAATCAAAGACAAAACAAAATTTTGGTAAAAGTAAAAAAGGATGATGGGATAGTCATTAGAATGCCACTAGGAATTGGAGAGCAAAGCAGACTACTTTGAGGACAAACCATGTACACCAAGGCCTAAATGCTAAGAAGGAACCGGTCAGGCTAAGATCTGTGAGAACAGTCAGAGCAGAAGGAACAGCAAATCCAAAGGCTCCAAGGTAAGAATGAACTTGGCAAGTTGAGAATGAGAGAGAAAGCATATTTGGCCAGAATTTTATGAGCAATGAAAAGAACGGTGCAAGAGAGGGGAACATCAGATCGGCCTTGTATGCTGGAAGGAATTGGAGAGAAGTGAGCAGAGTTAGAACTTACAGGAAGCAGACTTGGAAAGATGTATTGATGCCCTGTTTGTGTGGAAGGTGAATGACAAGAACGATCAGTGTCCACCTGCTTTGTCCCATGAGCTGTTGGGTAGATGGAAGCACATGCCATTCACTGTGACCGTGAACTTAGGGGAGGAGCAGTTCTGGAGGGCGCAGTGCCTTTTGACCTCACAAAATTCCCATCTTGAGGGTACAGTTTTCCACAAGACTGCCTTCATTTCAGATACCATTTTCAAGTCTAGGAGTCCCCAGGTGACCCTCACTTCTGTGCCCACTGCACAGACTGATGTTCCCAGGTTCAGGTTCACTAGAACAACTTGTCACTGGCAAGCATGGACCCTTCCTTTAGTGACAATGGAAATTAAAACTAAAGCAACAGTATGGTTTACAGGCAAAAGCAATAGTTAATAAGAAAATGGTAAGGACTTCAGCCTAGGTACCTGACAGAGATCAAGCGGGCCCCTTAACAAAGGGAAATAGAAAATAGGGAAAGGACTCTGGTGCAGATAGCTGGAGGGGGCACTCTGATGAAGAGGATCAGACTGGCCCATTCACAAAAGAAGGGAGGCCAGTGTGATAGGGTGCTGTAGTGGGCTGGCATCTGATCGATCATCTCAGTCCTGGTTTTGTAGCTTTGGAGGATTCCTCATGATTTGGGGGCAGTTTAGTTTCTGTGAGATAGTTGTCTGAGGCAGTCTCCACCATGAGAGGCTCTGCTGGAATCCAGGATGACTCTAGGTGTAGGGCCCTGGAAACTTCTGGGCATAGCTGAATGTCCTTGTAAATCTCTTATCCTGGTGTCCTAAGTCTGAAGGGTGAAGAGATAGGTAGATTTGGGGCTCATAAACCTTGTTTGGCCAACTTTTAGATAGACACTCCCTAAATGACTAAAAGACCTATATACAGAGCTGATAAGGACTTGACTCTGAGTTTCACAGAACAATGGTCAAGCTTTATTCTACTTTTAGTGACCTGTTAGACATCTTTCAGTCCAAGTGAAGAATCACCGTTTTTTTACCAAAAAACACTTTCAAGTCCCTGACTGCCTCAGAAGAAAACATGAATCATGGTTTTAATGAACAGGTTAAGGACCTAGGAGTTTGTTTGTCCCCTGTCCCAGTGGTGTGAGAAATTCACAGAACTCAGAAAGGACCATACTTAAGATTGCAGTTTTATTACACCAAAAGGGTGCAAATGAGAACCAGTCAAAGCAGGAGATGTGTAGGGCAGAGTCCGGGAGGAAGAGTCACACTCAAAGCTTTCATCGTCTTTCCTCATGGAGTCAAGCTGTTAGGCTCCTGGCACATCTGATGTGATAGTATGTGGAGAACTGACGATCCAGGAAGCTCACCTGAGTTACAGGGGTCCAGTGTTTACTGTCAATTGTGTAGGCACAGTTGACTGAATCATTGGCCATGAGGTTGAACTCAGCCTCCAGCCCCCATCCTGAGTCATCTCTTCAGAGACTGGACTGGAGAACCATCCTGCCTCAGTGGTCAGCACCACTGTCAGATGTGGTCTGCACAACCTTTGTCAGTCTGTAAATGACAAACACACTTAGCACTCAGAATTTTAAGAATTTAGAGGCTACCTCCCAGGAGCTGAGGACAAAGAACACCTAAATGCTTTCTTTGTTCCTAGAGCTAATAGAGGTTACCTACCAGGACCCAGGACAGAGGCCCACCAAATTCTCTGTTACACAAGAGGCAAGACAGAAAATGATGAGCTGAGACGTGACTGTACAGGGAAGTGCTTTCAAAGTCGTCCAAGTAAAGCTAGGGAGTAAGGAAGTTGGATTTGCTGCTCCAAAGGCAGCACTCCTTCAGTGTTAGAAATGGACATTTTTGTGTTACCAGCTTTTAGATGTGTGGGCGAGATTGTTTCAGAAGTGTGTAGAAAGAGAAAAGCAAGAACCCAGGCCAGTTTCTATCTGTGCCTCAGATACTATCTGGGAAGCTATAA